GACGGACAAAATTGGAGAGCAATAGGTCACCTGAGTTTACTCTGGTGACCTAAAAATCTATCTGGTGAAAAAATAGTTCTTGATTGTTTTTCTCTTTTTAATGATGAAATGTATCTTTCCTCCACAGTTTTTATTGATATTCACAGTATTTACAATAAAAATCACAAATTTTTGTGGGATCAAATTTTCGAAGCTTGAGAAAGAAATATTGGCTTGAGGGTATTTTCTTTCATGGTTTGAGAAGTGTTAAGTAGTAATGAAAATGGAATTTGACATTTCCTGGTGGTCTTGAATTCAAGGGCCTTTCCATGCTTTGAAAACGATAAAAATAAAACCCCCATGAAAATAAGTGATTTCACAGGTATTTTATTATTTTAAAAAATAACTTTCTCTTGGTCAAACATTTTCTACTCTAAAATGCTTTGAAGTAATGTCAGAGTGTTTTTTATATGACTGATATATAAGGTTAGAAAATAATGCCCTAAATATGGGTTGGATACCTTAAGGCCCCAAAATGCATCAACTTACAAGTTTTAATGATTCTTAACCTCTCAGTATCTGTATTTTTTATTTATTTTAATCTGTATCAGTATTTCTTTTTTAAAAAAGATAAGCCATAAATTCAAAAAGTAGGTCAAGGTGACCAACTTTAATGTTGAGGTTGTCTGAGGACCTAAGATGCATCAAATGACAAAGTTTGATGATCATGTCTTAAAGTGTTTAAGATGTGCTTCCAAATAAATTTGAAAATGAGTGTCTGCAAAATTCAAAATGTAGGTCACCATGACCTACTTTTGAGTCAACATGATGGGATGTCCTTAGATGCATCAATTTACAAGATTTGATGATTCTTGTTCTTACAGTAATCAAAATATCAACATTTTGATAAAGTGTATTTTTTTGTGAACTCTAGTGACCTTGAAACCACAACCTTTGACCAAGGGTGATGCCTTGAACACTTTTTAATCTTCAACATATCCCCATACTTGTATGTATTGGTTTGGTGATAATCTGCCCAGTGGTTCCTGAGAAGGTTTTTTAACAACCAGTACCTTTGGTATTTTCTACCTGCAAAACAGGAGCACTTTGACAAAGGATACCCTGTGACAAATTTGACAATGATTAGCCAAGGGGTTCTTGAGTTATGGCCCATATTCTAAAAAGTTTATGCCCACTGCACAAATGGCCATAATAAGCATTAGCTCTTTCAACCTTTGGCTTAGAAGAGCTAATGAACCTACATTTATTTCAAAATCAAATTGCAATAAAATTTCATTTTCTAATAAGTTACATTGTTTGCAGTAAAATTTGATATAAAATAACCTGATTATTTGATCATATATCTATATACACCGTACAATCCCTTTTAACCCCCTCTAACTTTATAAGCCCCCTCCCCTCACCCTAGAATCATATTGAAAATCCGCCATAATTTGAACAAGAGGCCCATGGGCCACATCACTCATTTGAGCATTTTTGCTGAACAAAGGCACAAATAAGTTAAGTATTAAAAAACCAGAAGTCTCTGTCGAGACTGAAGCTCTACTGGTTTGTACTTATAGCAAAGGAAGAGAAAACTACTTAAAGCTGAACACTTCTCATAAATAGGCACTGTCAGGCGGGTATATATACCGTTTGATTTCGTTACACCCGACTGCACACTCGAAACTTGTGGCCGACATGTAGTACTCCTTTCATGGTCTTATATTTTTTGCGTTTATTCCTTGTTTTTATGTGCATTTTCTGTTTGTAAATAATATGTAATGACCAATATTTTTCTTGATACTTTTGTAATGTTTTGGAAAAAATACGTTCAATTTGATAATTTCATCGTGACCGAGTAGCACGGCTGTGTAATATGTACGTCTACACTCGTCGGATCTCTACAGCAAAATACATGAACTGAATAGCAATCTGCTCCTTATATATGGGTTGTAGGGAGAGCGTTGAAGAACGGGAAATATGGCGGACTATGCCTTTTTACGAGTAGTGTTCAGCTTTAAGCAGTTGGGAATTGAAACTTTACAACAGCAAAATAGAATAATGATTCTTGATAAAGTCTCTTTATGTTCTTAGTGTAGTCTACTTGTGTGCCAAGTTTTATTGAAATCAGACCAAAACTGTAGGAGGAGTAGCATTTTGAAACAATTTTATAGACATTTTTATTTTTACTAACCACGGCAACACCATTCATGAAAATCAAAAACCAATAAACACAATTATGGATCTTAGTGTAGTCTACTTGTGTGCCAAGTTATATTGAAATCAGACGAAAACTGTAGGAGGAGTAGCATTTTGAAACAATTTTACAGAAATTTCTATTTTAAGTAACCAAGACAACACCGTTCAAGGAAATCAAAAACCGATAAAACTAATTATGTATCTTAATGCAGTCTACTTGTGTGCCAAGTTATTTTGAAATCAGACCAAAACTGTAGGAGGAGTAGCATTTTGAAACCATTTTAATGAAGTTTCTATTTTTAGTAACCACGACAACACCGTTCAAGGAAATCAAAAACCAATATATAGAATTATGTATCTTGTTGTAGTCTACTTGTGTGCCAAGTTATATTGAAATCAGACCAAAACTGTAGGAGGAGTAGCATTTTGAAATAATTTCACAGAAATTTCTATTTTTAGTAACCACGACGATACCGTTCATAAAAATCAAAAACCGATACACAGAATTATGTATCTTGGTGTAGTCTACTTGTGTGCCAAGTTGTATTGAAATCAGACCAAAACTGTAGGATGAGTAGCATTTTGAAATAATTTCACAGATATTTATATTTTTAGTAACCACGGCAACACCGTTTATCGAAATCAAAACCATAAATAGAATTATGTATCTTAGTGTAGTCTACTTGTGTGCCAAGTTATATTGAAATTAGACCAAAACTGTAGGAGAAGTAGCATTTTGAAAAATTGTTTACAGACAGACAGACAGCTAGACGGATGGATGCCGGACGAATTACTACCGCATAAGCTCTTCTGGTCTCTGACCAGTAGAGCTAATAAGGCTTGAATTTTAAATCAATTGTGAATACTTCCATATCAATAACTATGGCTTCACTGTTCTTGAAGTTTTTCCTATATTCCTTTGTAAAAATTTCCTTCACATTGTGGCCCCTCCCTATCCCTGGAATCATGATTTGAACAGATGTGAATCTACACAATCTAGTGATGCTGCCATATCAATATAACTTAACTATGGCCTTCCATTTTACAGAAGAGGATTTTTCTGATAGATTCCTATAAAAAAAACCTTGTTTATGTATTTCTATGTTCAACTTTGATCCCCCATTAGGACCCCACCCTACCCCGGGGGTTACGATTTGAACAAACTTAATTTTACACTACCTGAGGATGCTTCCAAATAAAGTTTTATTTTTCCTTGCCCAGTGGTTCTTGAGAAGATTTTTTAAAGATTTTTTCTTTAAAACTTTGATTTTCCGTTGTGGCCCCTTCCTATCCTCGGGGGGTCATGATTTTTAATAAACTTGATTCTACACTACCCGAAGTTGCTTCCACACAAGTTTGATCTTTTTCCTGGCCCAGTGGTTCTTGAGGAGAAGATTTTTTAAAAAAAACTTTTCCTGTGTATTTCTACATTAAACTTTGATCCCCCATTGTGACCCCAACCTATCCCAAGGGGTCACGATTCGAACAAACTTAAATCTACACTACCTGAGGATGCTTCCACATGAGTTTCATCTTTCCTGGCAGTGACTTGAGAAGATTTTTAAAAGACTTTTCCTATGTATTTCTATGTTCAACTTTGATCCCCCATTGTGGGTCTACCCCGAGTGGTTCTTGAGAAGATTTTTAGTTTTTTCCCTATATGTTTCTATGTAAAAATTGGATTCCCTATTGTGGCCCCGCCCAACCCCCAGGGGTCATGATTTGAACAATTTAGAATCTACACTACCCCAGGATGCTTCCACATAAATTTCAGATTTTCTGGCCCACTGGTTTTTGAGAAAAAGATTTTAAAAAGATTTTTCCTATGTTTTTCTATGTTCAACTTTGATCCCCAATTGTGGCTCCACCCTACCCCAGGGGTCATGCTTTGAACAATTTAAAATCTACACTACCCCACTGGCCCAGGATGCTTCCACATGAATTTCATCTTTCCTGGCCCAGTGGTTCTTGAGAAGAAAATTTTTGAAAGATGCCATTACTTTTTCACTAATTCATAACTATCTCCCCTTGGAAGAGGGTGTGGCCTTTCATTTGATCCCCTTCACCTAAGGATACTTTGTGGCAAGTTTGGTTGAAATTGGCCCAGTGGTTCTTGAGAAGAAAATGAAAATGTAAAACGTTTATGACAATGACAACTACAACAACAATGACGATGACAGACAAATTTTGATCAGAAAAGCTCACTTGAGCCTTTGGCTCAGATGAGCTAAAAAAGTGAAATTGAAACTTAAATTGGTAATTGGGTAACTCTTACATTATATATTCCTGAAAGTGAAAGATTTTTTGCACTACCTAATCATTATGTATACACTGTATCTGAAAGTAAAAGTTACCTACAAATTTGTTCTCCTTGTGGCTTGTCTTATTTCTCAGTGAAAAACTAAATAATTTAGCATTAATTTTATTAGATTATCTTAACTGAAAGGAAAATTATACAATCTTTTAGTGGTTCTCTGAATTTGTTATTTTTTCAATTTTCTAAGTGCCAGAGGCAGTTCAAAGGGATTATACGATATATATACACAGGGAAATTTTCACCCCCTTTGTTTTTCTCTCAATTTGTTGAATTTAAATCTTGGCAAATTCAAAGAACACAGTATACTTTCTTAAAAAGTACAGTGAATCGGCAAACTCAAATCTGACAAAATGATTTGCAAGTGTGAAAGGGCAAAAATAACATGTGGTGAAAATTACCCTGTTTACAGTATATATAATTACTAAGAGATAATTCATAACAATGTATCAATTTTGCTGAAAGATAGTGGGATCATTAAGATTCGGTTCCAAACTAACAGTAGTGTGTTTTGGTATAATATTTAATGTCTACTGGACATCAGTAATTAAGTGACATACAGAGTTTATAGTGACAGCCATTGGATATATTTCTTTTGCACAAGAGATCCTTCTTGCTAAATTTTATAAAAGTCACACTGGTGACCTCCTCAGCTTGTTTCAAAAAATGTCTTGACATTTGGCCCAGTCTCTCTTCCAGTATTCTTCTTTATATAACCAGTCCTCCTTTCCAGTGCATGGACTCACTCCATATGAAAACCACCTACAATGTGAAGAGGCAGTTCTATTAATGCCAGTCTGTTTGTCTGCAAAAACTTTAACCTTGCCCATAACTTTTGATTTAGTGGAGCTACTACTTTCATATTTCACGTGTATTCCTTGTGACAAGACCTTTCTTTGGGTTTCACCAAATTTGACCTTTTGATCTTCATCTTTGAGTTTGACCCACTTTTACACAAAAATTCCAAACTTTTACTTTGGCCATAACTTTTAAATGGTAAAAACTAGGACTTTCAAACTTCACATATTTATTCTTTGTGGCAAGACCTTATTTTTTGGATACACTCAACTTTGACCTGAAAGACCTTGACCTTGGAGATTTATGTATTATTGAAAAATTTTTAACCTTGGCCATAACTTTTGATACAGTAAGGAAAATTACACAATTATATTTCACATATGTAGTTCTTGTTAGAAGTCCCTTCATTAGATACCAAGATTTCCTTTTTCCTTGGATTAAAAACCTACTTTCAACAAAACAAACATTGACTATAACTTTTGAAGGGTTAATTATAACAAATATTAGATAACTATTAAATCCATGTGACAAGAACTTTTGTGTTAATATCAAGAATTTTGACCCTTTGAACTTAAACAATATTGACCTACTCTTTAAAAACATTAACCTTGGCCAAATTAATTTTGAACGGTAAAGGCTGGCCATCAAATCACATATGCTAATCCTTGTGACATTAGACCAACAACCTTGATGCTTTAAGGAGCACTTGACCTGCCTTTCAAAAACTTATAATTAATCTTTGACAAGATCCCTCAGGCCCCTTAAATATTAATGGACCACTTTTTATCCTAAAACACTTTTAAAACATATAAAATACCCATGATTTCTTTTTGTAATGCCAGACAGGTTTTATATTTAATTCATATGGACAAGTAGGCATGCTTTCACGACCCCACCCCATAAAATTAGTTTTTAATTAATTAATATTATATAATATCAGATTATTGGTTTACTATGCATTATCAAATAAGTTTTAATTACTTTTCATCAAATTCATTTTAAAACTTACCAGTCCTGAAAATGCTATGGAAAAAAATTAACAGCTAGGCTGGCTGTCCCTTTGCCCAATACCCAAGGGATATTGATAATACCAATGCTCTACTAGTTACCTCCTCACACTAAACTCATTAATTTCTCTCTAATTTCACATGCAACTTTCTGCTATCAAAATTCTTCTTGACCAGTGCTTGATAATTATGCCCATGGGACAAACTGAATTCCTCTCATTAACATTGAAATTTGTTTAAGATTCCTGTAAAGTATATTGAAAAAAATAAGTTTTTATTGATTTAATTTTTTAATAAGGATACAACTTTTTTTATATTTTAGGGTTATGAAATTTAAAATTTTAAAAAATTTCACTAAAATTAAAGGTCACAGTGACCAAAGGTAGAATACACCTTCTACCTAAGATGTATACTTTTGCCAAGTTTGATAGCTGTAGGTCTAATAGTTTTCTAGTTATAGCCGTACAATTTTTCCATATTTGGCCATAGCATCTTTATTAAAGGTCAGAGCAACCTACTTTTTGTGCGCGACACACCGTCTACCCAAGAAGGAAGTATCAGTCGACAAAGTTTGATAATCCTAGGCCTAATAGTATTGAAGTTATGAGCCGGACACGAATGGACAGACGGACAGACGGACGGACAGACAGCTAGACGGACGGACGGACATGAAGCCTATAACATAATACGTCCCATCTTAAGACGGGCGTATAAAAATATGAAAGTGCTAGTTTATACCGTTCAAAGTTTTTGAAAAGTAGTTAAAAGTCCAAGGTCAAGGTCAAAGGGTCAAAGTTCTGGGTATGCAATGAAAGGTCTTCTCACAAGGATTACATACATGAAGTACAAAAGCCCTTACCCTTACCATTTAAAAGTTATGGTCGAGGTTAAAGTTTTTTCAGAAGTACGTTTCTCCAAGGTCAAGGTCAAAAGGTCAATGTTGTTGATATCCAATGAAATGACTTGTCACAAAGAATACATATGTGAAATATAAAAGTCCTTGTATCTACCGTTCAAAAGTTGTGACTAAGGTTATAATTTTCAAAAAATAATAAAAACTCCAAGGTCAAGGTCAAAAGGTCAAAGTTCTTGGTATCCAATGAAAGGTCTTCTTACAACAATAACATATGTATTAAGTATTAAAGCCATAGCCCTTGCCGTTAAAAATTATGGTCAAGGTTATAGTTTTCTCATAAGTACGTAAATTTCCAAGGTCAAGGTCAAAAGGTCAAAGTTGTTGGTATCCAATGAAAGATTTGTCACAAAAAATAAATATGTGAAACACGAAAGTACTAGTATCTACCATTCAAAAGTTATGGCCAAAGTAAAAGTTTGAAATTTTGAGTAAAAGTTGGTCAAACTCCAAGGTCAAGGTCAAAAGGTCAAATTTTGTGGTACCCAAAGAAAGGTCTTATCACAAGGAATACACATATGAATTATGAAAATCATAGCTCCACTAAATCAAAAGTTATGGGCAAGGTTAAAGTTTTTGTGATACGGACAGACTGGACTTTCACCGTATCACAGATGGACGGACAGACGAATGAGATTTAATGTCCCCTCGCTTTCGCATTCAGGGCCATTGAGCAGTAAGGGTTCTTTATCGTGCAAGTGCCTACTGTGACACAGGATCTCCGTTTTTAAAGTCATATCCGAAAGACCCATGACTTTCACTTCTAATGCCGAGTGCCTGGCGAAGGAACAGTCACTACCTATTTCTACATCTTGGGTTTGAAGCGTCGCCGCGAACGAGAAGGCTCTACCACTAGGCTACCGTGATCAGTACCTCCATCTAGATCCCTGCATGGATGAATACCGGATATACAGACAAAGGAGTTAATATAATTAAATGTTCATATAATACACCAATTCCACAAATTCATATCAAATCGCAATCATCTCAGAGGAGAGAAAAAATGTGAAAACATTACAATGTGTGAAAATAATCTATGTACAGTATCACTCTTATTGAGTAAACATAACTTGCATGTAGCATATTTACACATCTTAAATACCAAGCTAGCATATCAATTATGATCTATAAAGGCAACGGAATTAGATATACGAGATAATTCTGACTTCTGGGGCACCCCATGTACTAAATAATTTCTGTCATTTTAATAGTTTGATACCCCCTTTTGATCTGAAACTGAATGTTGGTTCAAGTGTAAATAAAGGGCAGTTGTATGTTATGAAGTTTAAGATCTACAGTCCCTGAAACGTTCTACTTTCCCATTTTTCCTTTCACTCACCGTTCGTTCAGCGTTCGTTCACCGTTCGCTCTTCGTTCACAGTATTGCATTCACTGTTCACCGTGCGCTTGCTTTCACCGTTCCGTGTTATTTTGCATTCACCGTTCACTCATCATTCAGTCTTCATTGTCATTCGGAACTTCGAAGTGAAAGGACTTATCTTTTTGATGGTAAGGATTTACACGTTTTTTAATTAAATAACTTAGATATCGTGTTTGAAGATTAATTATTTCATTGCAAAAATTATCTATGATATTTATATTTCTATTATTAAAACCCAGCTGTAACTTATTTCATGAAATTTTACCTGGAAAATAATACATCAAGTACCTACATGTATGTAGAATGATGCTAAAATATTAACTTTAAAAAAGAGCAATGTACAAATGCTTCATGCACGGCATCAATTTGTTGTAATTTTAAAGACGACAAATCATTAAAGGATGTATAATAATTAATCCAAGTCTTTTACAAGAAAAGAATACACAAAAAATTATTTCTACAGTAACACATATTTTAAACTACACGTAGGTCTGAGAATTATGAACAGACGTACTGCAAATATTCAATTAATTAAATATCTTTAGAGCTAATTAAATTGATAGTGTAATTTTAAATTCTAGAAAAGACCAACTGTTTAAAATAGTCTATTATTAGAGAAAGAAAATTCCTTCCTTCACCGTACCTAAACATATGTTTAAATATATGTTTGCCATTCAGTATAATTCAGAATTTTATTTCGGGAGAAAAGACACCGGGAGGGGGAGTGGGTGTTTTTTCTCCCGAAATAAAATTCTTAGTATTTTCAGTACATTTTAAATAATATTTAATGTGTATTGTAGCACAAGAAAATCAGTCTTAAAACCAACAGTCATTAAACAATAGTATTTTAGAATAAACTTGTGCCGACAGTAGTATTTTAAATTGGCAGGGAATATGTTTCAAATTCAATTTAAAACTTAATCCTTCCAAGTATATAATCCCACTATTTATTTATTTTTTCTGAAGGATTGCAAAAATCAGATCTAGAAATGATAGGGAAAAATATTAAAACTTCTTGGAAATGCTAAGTAGCTCTTTGCCTTCGACATGTTCGGTGAAACGAACGATTTCCACACCTCCACTGTGTGGAATGATTTTGATTGACAGGACAAGCACACTACTAGCTTGTGGACTTCCTGTGAACCGTGTGAATTTGATGTAGGAAAATAAAAGCCAATGATTATTGTCAAATGGATTTGTTAATCTAAAAAAAATTGATTACCTTTACTGCTTGGAATATTTAGAAAAAATAATAAGAATTTTTATATGATGCAACAGATATCTGAAAATTGAGGGGGTATCTCTCTCTCTCTCTCTCTCTCTCACACATTTCTCTGTTCAATAAAAACTATGACAGCACATTTTTTATTTAGTTTTGAAAATTTAATCTATTACTAATAATTTGAATGCCTCTTTCCATCATCTTGTCCGAGTATAATTACTGCCGGGAAATGTCTACAGATACATGTAGAAGTTAGCTAAAATAATCATCAAAAAAGACACATAAATATAGAATATTTTGCATTAGAATTTAAAAAAAACGAGAGTTTTTATGCAATACGTGTACAGACAATTGTGAATTTAAAAAAAAATCTGTTATTTTACTCAGAATCGAATCGCCTTGGCACGGAAATACATGTATGGTTGTTTCAACCACGTACAATGTAATTAATTCATTCTATAAGTAGCAGTTTTATCTTCAGAAGTCCACATTATTTTATTAGTGAAAAAAATAAGCATATTTACTACATAAATAGATTAATTTCATATTTAATCTACATGCGTTCGGTAACAAATACACATTTTTTACGGCAATTAAAATCGTGTTATAAAAATATCAATCTAAAACATAGGTAAATATATGTACAGAAAAAATGTTTTTATTATTTATCTATTTATTTATTGTTTATTTATATTAAAGCACTTGAAATTAGAATTATAGAATAACAGAATAATCTTAATGCAAGGAAAAGATCGGAGGCATTCGGAATAAATCGTTCATCTTGCGTTCACCGTTCATTCACCGTTCACTTTGCGCTCGCATTCGCGCTCTGTTCGCGTTCTCTGTTCACTCACCATTCACCAAGTTGCATTCAGCGTTCGCATATTGTTCACTCACCGTTTGCTCTGCGTTTGTTCAGCGTTCGTTCACCGTTCAAGTTGGAAAGTAGAACGTTTCAGGGACTGTATATATTTTAACAATAAAGAAGATTAAAGATCATCCCCACTGTGGAAAGCTGACGACCATGCAACAAATTATAAATTAAAGAAGCTGATCAGCCGGGGATATCTGCCCCTCCATATTGATCATAATAATTATATGCAAGTATTTATGAATGAACACCCCCCCCCTCCCCCCAAATCTAAATCTATCTAAAATAGATTTATTGCTCTTGGTCAGTTTTTTTAACTGTAAAAAAATGAGGTGTTTTTGGATTGGGTATGTCGGTATAACTTTTCATGATATGCCCTCGCACTTACCTCTAAAACTTACTGAAGACCTGAAGCATAGATTACTTATGAAATATTTGTAAAACCTACAGATAAATATGCTGACATATTTCTGTATTATATATTTTTGCCAAAGGAAATATTTTTGTTTCAAAAATGATGAAAATATCAGTATACAGTATACGTATGTACATACATCGATATCTTCAGTGCGAGTTACGCTCAGCATCAATAAAACATTTTTGCTTTTGAAGCAGGATGAAAATTTACTTTTGTATACCTGCATGAAATTATCTCAGAAGATTTCGTAAAATAGATCAACGGCTGATGTACGTACGTAAATTGCGGCTATATATGATATGTAACAGTACCAACTCTCCCTCTGGTACTAAGAAACTGGCTTACCCTCATCCAAGTTCTAGACTTTGTTTAGTGGAATTGCAAACAATTAATATCCAAATCCTTCAATTTCGTACATTGTGTTTTTTTATTATTGATATTTTTGCACAAGCTAGTCCAGTATTATGCAAGGGTTAATGTACGAGTAGCGCTCCATTCCTTAAAAGTAATGGAGCAGAGGCCCATTACTCTTAAGGAATGGAGCGCTACGAGTATATTAACCCGCGTAAAATCCGCCTTTCTGAATGCTTGTTTTTATTGTTTGTTAATACATAATAAAAAATATTTATATGATACATTGTAAATACTTTTTACATATTAGTAGTAGTATTTTTATGTATAATATAGAAAGAAAAACTAAAAAAAGTGTACTGAATTTAATCTAAATAAAAGTCTTTCAACTGCCTCGTTAGCTCAGTGAAATGAGCATCGGACTGCTATGGTGAGGGTATCGGGTTCGATTCTCATCATAAGTGATCTAATTTTCTTAATGTGAAACTAACCTTTAAAATTTTCCAAAACTCTACTCTAAAATTTTCTAAGTTCTTTCCTTGGTAGAGGCACAGAAAGGAGAATAAGACCATAACAAATTTCGTTTCAATGTAATTTGCAACTCTCCATTCCTTAAAAGTAATGGAGCGCTCAAACAAAAGAATGACGTCACAGGTGGATTTTACTTTGCTTGTATTACAAAGGGCAGACGTGGTTATGATATTCCATTTTTTTCACAGTGGTGGATTCAGAAGGGTTGGACACCTTTGAATTTGCTAAAGAGAGAGGGATCGAGAGAGAGTTCCATTATTTTTTTTTAATTTCAGTGAAAGGTTCATGAAGTAATAAATGTAGAAATTCAGTTGTGAAAACAACATGGACCCAACCCCCGATAAAAGTGATACTACATCCCTGTATCTGTTTATCTAAATGTAAGCGTACGTTAGAACAACTCTTTCCCACTTCAACCCCCCTCTTCACCCCCTTTTTGATTTTTTTTTTTTTTTAGATCCAAGTCTGTTTCACTTAAACATTTACAAGCTACATGTAGTAATCTAGTAATCACGTAAAGCAGTATTAAGATTAGTCTTTAAAATAACAATAGTATCCTACTACATGTATTTAAAGAAAATTTAAACAAAAATAGTATTTTATACAGCTTTAGAAAGAAACAAGCAATTGAAGAGGGGTGAACCTGGAGATGATAGAAATAGAGCTCTGTTAATAATTTAATGGTATCATCATGCAAGTAAAGTTTAAGTGATTCATCTTGAAAAAAAAAATTCAATCATTTGAAAGAGCACAAACTTAATTAATTACAGTCTTTATGACGTCACAACTGATGTATATGTATTACTCTTAACATCATGTTTGAAGAGAAATGTAAAATCAACTAATTTATGATTTTTTTGTTTGAGTTTTGAATTCAAATAATATAAATTGCAGATCAAGCCTCTCCACAAATATCCATTTCAAACGAACTACTGACTATTTTTTTTAACATATTGTGTGTAAATTTAATTGTACTTATATAAACCAAATATTACTGAATGATTAACAAAACTTGCGAATCTTTGAGGCATCAAAATTAAAAAGTAAAGTAATATTTCATATTGGCCATACGTACGAACAACAATTATAGCGTGTAGATTTGTATGAGCAATATCTATATATATGGCAAGTATTAAAATTGTTCTTGACTGTGGCCACATTTAATTTTGGGAAATTATGCCGAAAAATCGGCATTTTTGAACGTTTTTATGAAACCGTCGTCTTCAATCCATCGCACGTGCCTAACTGAGCATTATTTGACAAAATGAGTTACGCAAGGAAAAGAAGTATGTTGTCCTCTAATAATTTACGTTATAATACCTGCCATAAATAGAAACTCTATTTTTGTGAAAAACATAGGGCCAAATATAACGGTTCGTGGCTTTAGCTCTTTTGATCAGAAAAGCTTACTTGAGCCTTCGGCTCAGGTGAGCTAAAACATATGAAATATATGTATGACTAGCGGTATATTTGATAAAGAAATTTGGGAATTATTGGCAACAATTTATTTCACACATTTCACATTAAAAAATATCAGAAGACAATGAAAAAATACAGAGGTGAACTATTTCAATTCATCGTTTCATATAATTTAAACGTATTACATTTGGCTGTGTATTCTTTTTAGCGTTTTTGGTGGAAAGAAATATCCGCAAATTCAAGTACAACGTTAATTGTCTGGCACATTTATCTATCAAGAAGACATTAAGATATGTGCTAAATCAAATCAATGCCAACTTGTTCAAAATCCAATTTCCCCCAAATATTGTACGCACTAAATATAATACATTTATAGTAAATGTTTAAAAAACAAAAGATGATAAATTTTTCAATTGTGAAACTCAGTATTTAAAATTTTGATACGGTTGCAGTTCAAGTGCAACTTCCTACTTCACAAGATGGCGACAGATACCTACTTCACATGATGGCGAAAGATAGCATGTTGTAAAATGAACTTTGATGAAACACTTTTTTCGAGATGAATAAAAAAATTTTTGTTTTGGCATATTGATGGATATTTAATGGATTAAAGAAATCAATAAAATGTATATTCAATTCTTAATTGTGATTTATTTTTCTCAATAAAATTATTTCAAAAGTTATGAAAATTGTATAGATTTATTTTAAAATTGACCTACATTTTACAGATTTGGGGTCATTTTTCGTAAATTTAAGCCGTAGAAAGGTCGATCCTTTAAATAGGGTGACCCCAACGGTTCTGAGAAAAAAAAGTATCGACCTATACCCTGTAAATTACGGTATATGTATAGCATAGTTTCTATGGTTTCAGATGGACTAAAAATCAATCACATACAATGGGGACCATTCCTCCTTTTTCTTTTTTCTTTCTTTTCTGGCTGCCCTCTGTTTTTCCTCAATCCTGTTCTTCTCAGCTGATGCTAAATCTGTATAATAAAGAATTTAAAAGCATTTTAACAAAGTGAGAGATCCAAGGGTCTCAACAATCACTTGAATGTACTTGTAATATGATCTTGTAAATGAGCCATACTAGTGACCTTGAACTTGCTAAATTGGCCTTAGATTAACAAAAGGCCCATGGGCCACATCGCTCACCCGAGTAATTTTGACCATGCTGTTCTTTATCAGATTTTCCCCTTGTAATAACCCACTGTGATTCCAAATTATGGCCCCAATCATGATTTGAACAATTGAGAATCTACACTGCCCCAGGTAGTTAGAATGATCTAACTGTGTCTCGGTACAAGCCCTCACCACAGTTAGAATACGTCCCATATACTAGCAATGTAGCAAATCGGAGCAAATCCTCTCCGAAACGATTTTGAAGAATATAAAAGGATTTGCACTGGAAATAACTACCAAATTAATCAAAACAAACCTTTTTGAGATTGCTTATGCCTTTTATCCCAGAAAATAATCCATCTAAAGACGAAAATCCAATTAATTTTCTCAACGTTTTTCTCTCGCTTCAAATTTACCTGCCATGTTTACATTCGGAACTCTCTAGATTGTTCTTAGTAAATTCACTGAGTTATAGTGAGTACGAGTTATCGCCCATGTTTCTTTTGCTACATTACGAATACACGGAACGAATTCTATTGTTAAACCGGGTCCATAGGACAATATCATTTTAACGACAGAACATTCTATCTATGCCCCAGGATGCTTCCACATAAGTTTCAGCTTTTCCATACATGCCAACTTTTGAAAATTCCCATGGGGGATTTTGCGCACAACGACATTTTTCAAAGCTTTAAATTCGCAACATTTTGTCATGAAATTAAATGATTATGACATGATCCTTTTTTTTAAAAATTTATAATATAATTAATATCACTTATTAATACTACTAAAGGATAAAAATAACACAAAAATAAGGTTTTTCTTTTCAAAATTGAAATATTTTTGCTCAAATAGGTGCCCCTCTCACTAAAGATGGGGTATTTAGTTACAAATTTAAACTTTTTTTTTACCAGCTAGGACACATAATTTAGTGAACAAGAGGCCCAAGGGCCTTGAATCGCTCTTCTGATAAATTGTACAATCTATCACTTCTATTAGAAGCCTCCAACTCTATTAGTATCATAAGACCCAAAATGCATCAACTTACAAAGTTTGATAATATTTAGCCAGTTAAGACTGAAGATATCATAATATAATTATAAAATACCATAAGTAGGTCACAGTAACCTACCTTTTGATTGAAATTTTCTGATGACTCAAGATACCGTATTTGGCCGAGTATAATACGCATTGATGTAAAATACGCACCCCCCTTTTTGTGTCTGGAACTGGGGGAAAAAACACAGTTCGGATGTATTATACGCAACAGAAAATTTTACCAAACGATGTTCTGAACTTTGAAAATCGCGGTAGTTTGTAACGAAAATCGGCGCGAAGATTAAGTGTCAAAAATTTACAGAACACACATTTATTTTCAAATACATTTATATTTTTTTCTTAATCTGCAATTTCCATATCGCGGCAATCTGGAGAAAATTATTTATTCATGAATTTCAACTAAGCACAAGATAATGTTGTGTAAAGGTGTTAACAGAATTTATTTTTAAAGCATACGGTGATTTTGAAATAATAAGTGGCCATATAATTCTTTGGTGAAATAATTTTATATCAACAAAGCATGAGATATTGTTGCAAGTTTAAACAGTTGTCATATTTAATTTTGGTTCGAGGTAATCATGTTGAAAAAAGAAATTGAAACATCAAAGTATTTTAAAAATTAAGTTGACTACGATTTTCCTCTTCTGAATCGTCGCGGATATTTTATTTTCTACAGAGCACGAATAAATGATAACACTTAAGTTTTAGCTTACTTCATATTTAATCTGTTAAATCTCAATTATTTAAACAAGGGTTCGATAAGTATAAGATAAGGTAAAATTACATTAAACAAGTGTTTAATGTGTGGTAATCAACACACGCTCACACATACGAAAGGTTACAAACCGTCCCCCGCTTTTTAACAAAGAAAATAACCAAAGCAATTAAGGACAGTGAAAATAATCATCGCTATAACTGTAGAAACATTGCTTTGGAGTCGGTAGACAATTAATTGCCCGGAGGGGTGTTGAGAGGTAATTATCAAGTGACCAGCGCACGTGTGTCATGACATTGGCTTCCTTTCATTGGGACGTATAGAGGGGTGTTTGTGTTGCAGTGAATTTTAGCTGTCTTATTTAAAACCTAAAAAAAATCTGTTTTATTGTATTTCATTAAAAAAATGACTTATTACTTTGTCTGGCAGATGTGTTTACTACGATTACGGAAGCACGTGGCAAAGGAATGTGTGAACGTCTTAAAATAGCATCGGTAATGGCGACCTACACGGAGACGATAAACATGGAGCTCTAATTATTTTAACTTGCTTTTTCATGTCATTTTAGTATCAAAATATTATGAAAGTGTTATTTTTAACAAGCATACCTTCCAACAATAACTTTCCGAAGTTTAAAAATGACAATAAACAAAAGAAGTTGTATATGTCTATTGGTAATACTACAGTATGTACGTATGATAGCCGTGTTTCACCTGAAAGAAAAACTTATCAAAGTCCCATTGTGATGTAAAATACGCATCCCTTTCTCACAGAAATTTATTTTAGGAAAAAAGTGCGTATTGTATTCCCCCAAATACGGTACATTAATTGACAAAGACTGATAATTCTAATTAAATAAGTACCTGAGATATTCAAAAGTAGGTCATCATGACCTACTTTTGGTCAACATTCTCTGAAAAGCCAAGATGCATCATCTGACAAAGTTTGACGATTCTAAGCCAATTAGTAGCAGAGATAATTAAATATAGCCATCAAATGTCAAAAGTAGGTCACGGTGACCTACTTTTTGGTCGACGTTATCCAATAACCCAAGATGCCTAAACTGACAAAATTTTATGATTCTAAGCCATTAGTACCTGAGATATTCAAAAGTTGGTCACCATGACCTACTTCTTGTTGGACATTCAATGAAACCGTAAGATGCCTCAACTGACAAAGTTTAATGATTCCGAGCCAATAAGTACCAGATATAATTAACCCTAGTCCTGCAGGTCGTCGCTTTATCGACAACCCAGATAACACCATCACAGTGCCAGTCGTCGATAAAGTGAGAGCCGCCATGTTTTCCGTTCTGTGCCGGTCATCAGTATATCGACTTTGCACACATGACTTTTTCTTTGGTATTTTAACCAACGAAATAAAGGTAATCCATTCATTTCAATGTTGTTTACTAAAAATAGATAGATTTTCCAGTAGTCTAATGATATGATTGGCTCCTGATGGGAAATTCCTTTATGTATTCTTAGAGAATGAAACTTGTTGATCGCGTGCTTTGGGGAAAGTTTGAAAACAAGATAGAGGTCGCAGAGAAGATGCTCGATGGAAATACGCTTTTACAGTAATAGCAGGCAGAAATAAATGTTTTATTTGGTAAAATATATCTAAATTGAGCTTCCGATGAAGAATTCTGATGATTTGATTCCATGGACATGAATATTACGTGGGAGCAATAACTTTTCAGAGGACACATGGATTTAAAAACATTGATGCACGTCACCAGTTTCAAAGGTGAAAAAAATCGATACAACTGTGTCAAATGATCGCACACTGATTGACAATCAAAGTTTATTATTTCTAATACCTGTTTTGAAGACGTTTTGGTTAAAAAAATACTTTACGGCAGATATATTCAATATTTCACAAGAAAGAAACGGAGCCACAAAATCGGATTTCCATGTCCATTAAACAGTTGTCAAAAAAGGACTTGTAGCAATCATAATTTTATGTTTAAAAATCTGAAAGTATAGCCAGTAGTAACATGAAGGACTCTTACAATATAGTAGTTGCAAAAAGCTATTATGAAATAAATAATGACATTAAAATACCAATAATTTCTCATTTTAAATATTTTAAATGTAAAATTTTAGTTTAAAGCTTTTGTAGTTTTTTACTGAGTTGAAATATTAAAAAAAATTCTTCACAATTTTCTTCTTTTCTTTTCTTTTTTCTGAAATAAAGTTGTGCAGATTGTTATCAGAAAAGTCAATTATAAAATGGTGATAATTAAGATAATCTACAGCATATGCAATTTGAGAGAAATTTATAAATCAGCCTGGCACAGTCAGCGGCTGGAGCTCCTTATCAGCTCGGCACTCAGAGATGCTGTTATCTATAGAATCCCTGGCAGGACAAGGGTTAAATATAGCCATAAAATGTCGAAAGTAGGTCACAGTGACCTACTTTTTGGTCGATGTTCTCATAAAACCCAAGGTGCCTAAACTGACAAAGTTTGATGATTCTAAGCTTATATGTACCTGAGATATTCAAAAGTAGGTCACCATGACCAAAAGTAGGTCACCATGACCTACTCTTTGGTCAACATTCTCCGAAAACTCAAGATGCCTCAACTGACAAAGTTTGATAATTCTTAGCCAATATGTGCCTGAGATACTTAGATATAGTCATAAAATGTCAAAAGTAGGTCACCATGACCTACTTTTTGGTCATCACGCTTTGAAAACCCAAGATGCATCAACTCACAAACTTTGATGATTTTAGGTCAATAAGTACCAGAGATACTTAATTATAGCCACAAAATGTCAAAAGTAGGTCACCATGACCTACTTTTTGGTCGTCACTCTCCAAAAACCCAAGATGCATCAACTCACAAAGATTGATGAATCTAAGCCAATAAGTACCGGAGATACATAAGTAAAGCCATAAAATGTCAAAAGTAGGTCACCGTGACCTACTTTTTGGTTGTCACTCTCCGAAAACCAAATATGCATCCACTCACAAAGTTTGATGATTCTAAGCCAATAAATGCCTAAGATACTTAAATATAGCCATAAAATGTCGAAAGTAGGTCATTGTGACCTACATTTTGGTCGATATTTTTCAAAGACCCAA